ATTATCTTAATGTATCAGAAGAGCTCTTATAATAATTAATACACCAACTAAACCAATTACAGAAATCTAAGATACCAACTTGACCATTTTTAATGTGTAAAAATTTTTAGGCACATGCCATGGTTTTACGAATTTTCCCTCAGAGGAAAAGGCATAATACTCATGAAGGGAAAATATTTTTATATACTACTAAACTATATTAAGAAATGCAAATAAAATGAAATTTTAAAAACTAAATACTGTACCTTATAATGTCTCACAAATTATGACCATGCCACCAATTTTAGATGTGGATGCCTGAATTATAAAGTTGAAGGCTGTTTAAGTCTTTAGATCATACTAATTGGCCAAAGGATTTGCTTTAGATATCCACTAAAAGGGCAGTGTTGTTACACTGTGATTTAATTGCATTAAAATAAAACAACTTTTCTTTTAGTGATATTTTTCCACCAACATCTAATCATATAAAGGCCTTGGTTCACTCTGTTGCCCCTCAAATACTTTGCGTTAGTGCACAGAAAGTTTTCTTTTTAGCTATTACACGATTAAGTATGTCCTTATAAAATGATCAGAAGCATCTGGGAAAGGTGGAAGTGAAAAAAATCCTCACTGGGAAAGTTAGCTTAATGCCTGCCCTTCAGAGTGGCCCATTATCAACCTTTCATAGTGGGTTTCTTTATTTTCAGGTCCCTGAGGTATGTGCCATAAATTATGACTTGAACTAAACAAGTCACACTTGGCTCCAAAATGAAATTTTCCTACCTCTATTTTCTAGTCCCCAAGGTGGGAAGAGGAAATCCTGGTCACAGCCAAAGAAGTCATATTTTTGGCTCCAACATACATTTTCCTGCTTCTCTAAAAGCCAAACTCTGCAGTTGAGACTACAAGAGTCTTAAGTTAGTATTTTAAACTGCATTTTAATTTTTACTTCCATAATCTGTCTCAAATTTAAGAAAAAAATTTAGTATCGTAAAATTGTCACTGCCCTCTTCCCCCCACTCAAATCACTTTTCTAACTCAGACACTGACCTTGACTCTTTAAAATATGAATTCAAATGAAAGTATAGAGAAAATGATACAGAAATAGTTTCATTTCCATAAGGTAGCATATTTAAGGTTTTCATTTATAAATAACTTCTACTTATTTTGCACAATAGACTGAATATTAATGTAAAAGAAAACTATAAAGTCTTAATTTATGGCCCAGCAATTTGAAGTATCATTTTAGGTTTGGAAGAGCCATTAACAGAAATCATTTAGTTCACCATTTCGTTTTATAGAAAACAAGAATATGGCAAGCACACCCTAAGGTAACTCCCAGAGAGTCATGTCTTATATAATCCTCTCACCCTGAATGTGAGCAGAACCTGTGACTTGCTTCTAGCCAACAGAACATGGCAAGGGTGATGGGGCAGTCACTCTGTTGATCAGGTTATATTTTATAAGGCAAAGGTATGAGGAGGTTACTCCTGTGATTATGTTGTTACATGACTCCATCTGAGGAGATCAGAGCTAGATAGTATCCTGAATTCTGCCAACATCCAGAATGAGCTTGGAAGAAGACCCCAAGATCCAGATGAGAATGCAGCCCAGCCAACACACTGACTGCAGCCTTGTGGAACCCTGAGCAGCGGATCCAGCTAAGCCAAGTCCAGAATCCTAACTCATAGAAACTGTGAAATAAGAAATGTGTGCTGTTTTAAGCCACTGTGTTTGTGATCATTTATAACACAGCAATAGAATACTAATATAGAGTGACAGCCAATATAATAAAAATAAGATACCCTCTCGATTTATTATGTTCTACTATGTATTAGAGTGTAAAATGATACTGGAATTGAGCATTCCCTTCTGTAACTCCGTTAATGATTTATGATTGTAACATACTGTACTGCCTTATTATAAGTCATATTAATGTTTACTACTGTCCTATTCATTATCATCTAATAATGCTTACTATCATTATCATGCCTTAATTAAAGTATCTATGAAAGGAGGGTTGTTATTTTTCCTAATAACAACGTCAAGTAAAACAAACAACAAAACCAAATAGTATGATAACATATTAAATATACTTAACTTTTAGTTTTATTTTAATTTTACATTAAGTAATACTTTATATTCAATACTTAATTATAATAAATATATTTAACTATATAAGTATACATATTTAAGAATTAAACTATGTATAAATATTTAAATAGCAGCCTATAAATATCAGTCTTTTGAATGAACGATTTATAAATATCCTTTAAAAAATCCTTTAGTTAAGGAAAAAAAGGCAGGACTAAAGGAGTCCTTATTCTAAGCCCTGTGCCATCTGTGGTGGAAAATACCCACCACCCCCCTCCCACCACTGCTGATTTGGGGCTTGGGCATGTGACATGCTTTGGGCGATATGTGAGTAGATGCAACATAAGCAGGTATGTGAAAAGACTTGCGCAGTCAAGCCTGCTCCCTTGTCCTTCTGTCATTACAATGATAACATGTTTTGGCTGGTCTGTGGGTCCAAGAAGCATAAGATACATGAAGAGCAGGGCTGATCAAGTTGAGCGCAACCTATGTTGGTCAGACCACAGCAGGGCGACTGAGCCCAGCCGAAATCACCCATCGCCCACCCGAACCTCACAGATGCGTGACCCATAATAAATGATTGTTCTTTTAAGTCACTGGGTTTTAGAATTGTTCGTTAGGCAGGAAAAACTGATCCAGACATATGGCAAAAGAAATACACTTCCCTTACAAATGGTGTTTCCTGTACAGATTTTTCCTCTTTATCTGTCCCTTGATCCTGAAGCTTGGATTACTCTAGGGTCTACCCTACTTGCCCTTCTAGGAACCACTAGGGAAACTCCTTTAGAGTCAGCCTCCTCCTCCCTATGCAGACTTCATTGAAGCTTCTGTTATTTTGCTGTTTCATACAATAGAGCTACTGCAATTCAGACAAGCAGAACCATGAAAAGCAGGACCATTGCTGAGGAAAGTCACAGCAAGTCACTGGTATCTTTTTTCTTTTTTGGTATGACAGACTGAGACGTTGTTGCCTGGAAAGAACTTATCCTAAGGAAAGAAAGCATTAAGAAACCCAAGATTGGTGCGATAATACCCAGAATTACAGTTGTTGGGAGAGAGAGCAGAGAAAATAGAAGGTCAGTGTAATCTTTTTTTCTTCTCAAGTAACACTTTATTTAATTTTAAGGATTTTTCAAAAAATAAAATAATAAACATCTGTCTTTTTATCATATTTTTTGAAGCTTTTAAAAAAATAAAACGAACATTATAGAAAAAGCTAAAGCCCCTTTTGGTAACTACCCTCTATGTGATTCCTTTCTCTTCTCAGATGTAATCACTATTATGAGTGTGAATCGTTTTAGGCCTTGTTACTTCGTAAGCGTAATATTTAGAACAGCTGAGACACTAGCCATACAGTTATCTCCTTTTCCAGCTCTCAATGACTCATATTTACGTCCAGGAAAGAAAGAAGATACAAACAAAAGTTGAAAGAGCTAGTTTTAGGGGAAAAAAAATTATATTTAAGACACAGGAAGAGCATGTGGTAGAAAGTGTGGGAAAGAAATTCTCTCTACTTGAACAGAGCAGCATTAGTGCAATACTATAGGGCCAAGGTGAAATGATACATCATCACAAGAGGCAGTACCACCGCCAACAGCCGTGCACTCAGCAGCACTCAGCTTCCGTGGAAGGAGCACAAATGCTGCTGACGGGGGACGAAACCGTTTTCTTGAGTGGGCGTCAACTGTTTCATCAGTAGGAGTAGTCAGAGGCAACATCAGCCATTCTAGAACAGGAGCCCCTGGAATCATCAGCAGCCCTCTCACTGGCAGCGCCGGCAACTAGGGAAAGGCAGCGGAAGCCACCTGAGTTACCGTAGGCTGGACGGTGAAACATCCCCGAGGACTTTCAGAAATTTTGACAAGGTCCACAGGTTAGGGAAAAGTAGGAGCTAACCAGAGAAATGCTGTTTGCTACTGTTAATATTATATAATTCACAGTGTCTAGTAAAGTATTAACAATAAAGAAGATAACTACGTAGGGAAAGGATTCTTGCTTTAGTGTGAGACCCTAACAGGCTGTATCCTGTGGGATTATACACAATGGAGTCAGCTCAGCGGCCAGAAAAGCCTCAAGTCTTGGTCTCAGATTGCCAGTACCTTCAAATGCCTGCAGGAAGTAAAAGAAAATCCTCCCTGATGAAGATGACATCATCTTAGGTTTCAAATTATCGCTACAACTAATTTTTCAAATATGTTCAGCAAACAATCAGTGATAATGAAGCAAAACTCCTGTGTCTGGCCAAGGCAGAATAAGTGGTTTAGAAATATCCTTCCCACTGGAGAAAACAGTTAAAGCAACTGCTTTCAGGGAGTAGACACTAGGCAGCATAAAACTGTAAACTCAGAGATAAGGGAAATCCATTATGTGAACTCCATGATTCTCAGTTCTCTTCCTGGGTATAATTTCAATAAATAGGATAGAGCACTGAAGTACAGAGTACGGGGGTCCTGCTGAGCTGAAGTGGAAGGTATCAGAACTTGAAGCAGCTAAGATCACTGAAATCTGCAGGGCAGGGCATGGCATTAGAAAGAAGAGAGAAAGAGAAAGGGTCCCACAATTCCCTGGGAGGGTCCCTGTCAGTCTGTGGCTAAGAATTTGACAAAACACAAATTGCTGGGCTCTATCTCCAGAATTTCTGCCTCAGTAGGTCTGAAGGGAGCTTACAAATATATATATTTCTATCAAGTTCCCCGATGATACGGACATTCCTGACTCAGGACCACACTGAGAAAAATTATTGAGCAAAAGACTGTGTAAGTTAAAAATAAAGTAAATCCACATCTACTAAACCTTTCTTACTCATTCCAAGTCACCAAAGCATTAAAATAAAATGTCTGAGGATACAGGAAAAATGTATAATTAACTCTACATAAAATAAACAACTTCTGTGATAAATAAAACTGCTTAAGGTTTTGACGACCTACCTGTAGATCTTTCACATTTGGGAAAGGAATTCCTACTGTTATGACAGCACGGGCATTATCATCTGAGAAATCCAGACCCTCACTCACTTTACCACGACAAACTGCTACCAGGAGGGCTCCATCTTAAGCAACAGAAAATAAACAATTTTAGAAGCACACTCAAAATTCTCAGAACTTGCTTATTCTTGTCATTTTGAAAATATCTGATCATTAAGTAATTATAAAATTTAAAAGATCAAAATTCAAAACTATCATAAGATAAAGTTTTTATAGTTCAGTGTCTTTAAATAAAGAAGGGAAACAAAATTGCACTTAGTTGCAACATGGTAAACCAATTTACAAACTGTGTATCTCCCAGTTAAACTACACAGAAAAACCACCTCAAAGCAGTAACTTGCATGTGAACTGAGCAATTGTGAACCAACTGCTTTTTTTATCTTTGAAATAACTGAAATTGAAATCACTACCTTTACCATCTGTATGTAAAGTTCTCAAAATGATTTAAATAACTCTAATTTATACTGTATATCATATTGAATCAATATTATATTGAAAAGTATTTAAAACACAAATACACAGAACTCTGTGTATAATCTTCCTACACAAGAATATTGACAATTGTTATATCTTTATGCTGTTGTATTGTTCATAAATTATTATTATTAGCCCTTCCTGCCAAACTTTTTGTGGGCATTTTCTAACTTTGAAATTTAGCCTTCAGTTATGTCTTGAAAGCCCAATTGTACCTTATGTAATAAAATATAAGCATAAAGTATATTATTTGAATCCAACTGTAGGGCTCATTTGGCTAGCAAGAAAAATATTCATGCATACTCTACCTGCCTTCTTTCACAAAATATATGAGGTAGTGTAAAGAAGACCATGGGATAACACCTGAATGCATGCCATTTCTTAAAACCGAACTGGCACCCACAAGTGAAAATATTTAGAAAACAACTACAAATAAAAGAATTTCTTCACTTTTTTTTTCACATAGGATTATAAAATAAAATTTTTCTCTTAAGTGCAATTCATTTAAAAAAGATAACACAAAATTCTAATAGCACCAACTTTTTCCACCTTATGGTAAAAAAAATCTTTTTTTCATTGATCATCAAA